GATTCATGCAATGAAATTGAGTTTGAATTGTTAGTCATAGCATCATTAGTTAGTCATTAAGCATCCCAAGTCAATTGCTTTGTCTAAAACCCGTGATTTCCCATATTTGATCGAGATCTTTGATTGTTGGCTTTTTGTTTGACTTTTGTCGACTTTTTGCATTTGATATTGTTTATGCTTAGTTATAGTTTGTTTAGGTCTAATTTAGTTTTTTTTAGCATTTTAATCTTGTTTATCTTCATTTTGCATTCTCATTTTCTTGTTTCACTTAGTTGCATCGTTAGGAATTAAAAAAAAAACCAAAAATATTATTTAGCTTAAATTAATCAATTGCTTGCATTCTTAGTGTGTTATTTTAACTCTTTGTAAATCGATACCTAAATTACTATTCGTTATTTGCACTTGGATATTAATTTAGGATTTAAAACTTTTATCTCACCAACACACAAAATGGGCTCATGACTAACTTTAAGAACTACAACCATTAGGCCTAGTTCTGAGACCCAGTCAGTCACAAATAACCTCTCTTTTTTTTTTTTGTTGGTAAACCAATTTGCTTAACTTACACTTGCAATTGTCAAATATATCACATAAATTTAAGAGTAAAGTGTCGGCGTGTGGTTGTTGTTATGGAGGTCAGAGAAAATACATGTGAGTGGGGACTGAGTCTAAAATGGTATCTTTCACGTTTTCTATGGGAAACAAAGAAAGTGACACAAGAGCTAACCTTTGGAATTCAAAGACATTAATGAATAATGGGAAGCTTATTGAATTGATCCAAAATTTGGGGTTAATTACAATTTTAAACCTCATTTTCTCTCTCACCAAAATTTTATCAAACCAATCATAGGATTCAACTTATTTACGGAAATGCCATTATATTTGAATTTTTTTTAATCAGACATTCTAAATACCCAAACAAACACCCAAATATATCAATTTATTTACGAAAATGCCATCATCATCTATATTTCCAACCACCATGAACAACCAAAATCAAACTCTAAATGCTTCATCAACTGATTTTTCGTGGATAAGAGCTCATAACTTCTTCCTCACTCATTTCCTCTACAATTTCATCAAAAAAACTATCTAAATTTGGTTTTCAAAATTCTCTCTCCTAATCTATCGATTTTCAATGGTTTTTGCATAAACGACGGCTGGACTTCTTTGTTAACGGTCATATTAAAAGTTTCAGGTGCTTGAAAGAGCTAAAAACCGAGCTTTAAGGCGGAAACGGAGCTGAAAACCGTGTTTTTTGATCTAGTTCGCGATAGTAGACTGCATAAGAAATCTGATAGTCAACGAAATGTTAGATTTGCAATTGACTATTTAAAAAAAATATTCATAGCAGCATGCTCGTGAAGTCTGCTTGTTCTCCTTTGATAAAAAAAAACACTCGTAGACTTCACTTGAAAATGTGTTAGTTTTGCAATTGACCAGAACTTTAACTTTATAGAGCAGACTTCTGG